AAGTAACAAATGCATGGACTAGTTTTTCTGCATCATTTTTAGACAGGATGTTCCTGATTTTCGCAATACTACGTAGGTGAAAAAAGGCGGTTCTTGAAATTTGCTTAATGTGAGACTTAAACGACATGTCCTGATCAAAGATAACTCCAAGATTCCACACAGTGATGCTGGAGGCCAGGGCGATGCCATCAAGGGAAACTATCTCTTTAGATAATGCGTCACGGAGGTGCTTAGGCCCCAGAGCAATAACTTCAGTTTTATCTGAGTTTAACATGAGAAAATTACAGGTCATCCAGGTTTTAACATCCTGAAGGCACATTTGAAGTTTAGCTAACTGATGAGTTTCATCTGGCTTGATCGATAGATATAACTGAGTATCATCTGCATAACAATGAAAGTTTATGGAATATTTCCTGATAATATTGCCTAAAGGAAGCATATATAAAGTGAAGAGGATCGGTCCGAGGACAGATCCTTGAGGAACTCCATGAGTAACTTTGGCGTGCATGGAGGACTCATCGTTAACATGTACAAACTGAAATCGATCTGATAAATAGGACTTAAACCAGCTTAGAGCGGTTCCTTTAATGCCAATGAAATATTCCAGTCTCTGCAATAGGATCTGATGGTCAATGGTATCAAATGCAGCACTAAGATCTAATAAAACCAGTACAGGGACAAGTCCTTTGTCTGATGCAATAAGGAGGTCATTAGTAATTTTCACCAGTGCTGTCTCTGTGCTAGGATGAGCTCTAAATCCTGACTGAAAATCCTCAAATAAACTATTGCTCTGTAGAAAGTCAAACAACTGTTTAGCAACTGCTTTCTCCAGAACCTTAGAGAGAAATGGAAGGTTAGATATAGGTCTATAGTTGGCTAAAACATCCGGATCAAGTTTGGGTTTTTTCAGAAGAGGTTTAATTACAGCTACTTTAAAAGTACTGTGGTACATAGCCTGTTGATAAAGATAGATTGATCATATCTAGTATAGAGGTGCTGACTAAGGGAAAACATCTTTAAGCAGCCTAGTCGGGATGGGGTCTAAGAGGCAGGTTGATGGTTTAGATGAAGAAATTATTGAAGTTAGTTGGTAAAGATTGAGGGAAGCAAAACAGTCTAAACATGTATCTGGTTCTACAGCTGTTTATAAGGTTCCTGAGTTTAGAGATAAGTTGGTGCCAATTGAGGGCAGGTCTTGGTGAATTTTGTCTCTAATAGCTAGAATTTTATCATTAAAGAAGCTCATGAAGTCGTAACTACTGAGAGCTATGGGAATACTTGGCTCAATAGAGCTGTGACTCTGTCAGCCTGGCTACAGTGCTATGCTATTTTCCTCTATTAATGACGAGTAGTACGCTGCTCTGGCATTACGGAGGGCCTTCCTATAAGTTTTAAGACTATCTTACCAAATTAAACGAGAATTTTCCACTTTGGTGGAACGCCAATTCCTCTCAAGTTTCCACGATATTTGCTTTAATTTGCGAGTTTCAGTATTATAGCATGGAGCTAACCATCTTTGTTTTAGTATTTTCTTTTTTAGAGGGGCTACAGAGTCGAGTGTCATTCGCAGCGAGCCTGCAGCACTATCAACAAGATGATCGATTTGGGAGGGACTGAAATTAGCATAGGAGTCCTCTGTTACTTTGTGACTTGATAATGAATTTAGAGCTGATGGAATCGCATCCTTAAATTTAGCTACAGCACTATCAGAAAGACATCATGTATTCAATTTCAATACCATACACCAAAACAAGGTCGAGGGTGTGGTTAAAACAGTGAGTCGGTTCATGAACACTCTGAGAGAAGCCAATGGAATAACAGATAAACACAGGACTGAAGCTGTCATTCTCAACGTCCACATGAAAATTAAACAAAAATAACTTTGTCCGTTTTAAGGAGTAAAATTGACAAAAACTCTGCAAACTCCGATAAGAATTCAGAATACGGGCCAGGTGCTCGGTACACTATAATGAAGAGAATTGGTTGCAGTGATTTCCAACTTGGGTGCGAAAGACTAAGAACAAGACTTTCAAATGATTAATAGTTTAATTTAGGTTTAGAGCTGATTAGTAGGGTAGAGTCGAAGATAGCTGCAACTCCACCTCCTCGGCCTGTGCCTCGAGGAATGTGAGTATTAATATGACTGGGAGGGGTGGATTCATTTAGGCAAACATATTCTCCATCACCCAGCCAGGTTTCAGTAAGACCAAATAAATCAATATCATAATCTGATATTAGTTCATTTACTAGTACACCTTTAGAAGAGAGAGATCTGATGTTTAAGAGTCCACATTTAACTCCTATTAGTTTGCACTATTGCTCTTTTAAATTTTTATGCACAGCTCCTCTTCTGTTTACCTTTTTAAATAATTTCGATGGTCGGGGGGCAGACACCGTCACTATAGGGTTTTCACTAAGTAACTCCTGAAATGGAGGAGCAGAGAAGTGTGTTAGACTGCGACTCTGCCTCCTGGTCTCAACTCTGGGTTGTCATGGATTTGGTCCACTAATAAACTTGGCCAGATTTCTAGAAATGAGAGCTGCTCCTTCCCAAGTGGGATGGATGCCGTCTCTCCGGATCAGACCAGGTCTTCCCCAGAAAGTCTGCCAATGATCTACAAAGCCCACATCGTTTGCTGGACACCACCTCGACAACCAGCGGCGGAATGACGACATGCGGCTATACATGTCATCACTGGTCAGATTTGGCAGGGGTCCAGAGAAAACTACGGTGTCCGACATTGTTTTTGCATATGTACACACCGACTCAACATTAATCTTAGTGACCTCCGATTGGCGTAACCGGGAGTCATTACCGCCGACGTGAATAACAATCTTACTGTATTTACGTTTATCCTTAGCCAGCAGTTTCAAATAAGACTCAATGACGCCCGCTCTGGCCCCAGGGATGCACTTAACTATGGCCGCTGGCTTCGCTAACTTCACGTTTCTCAAAATGGAGCTGCCAATGATCGGAGTTGGTTTCTCAGCATGTGTGTCGCTGAGTGGGGAAAATCTGTTAGAAACGTGAACAGGTTGATGATGCCCCGTGGACTTTGAATGCTTACGACTATTCCTCCTTCGGACAGTCACCCAGCCCCCCTTTCCTGGCTGCACAGGGGATGCCGGGGGACGGCTACCAGAGGCTAACTCAGGCCGTTCAGCACCGACTACCGGGGACTGGCTAGCTACAGTAGCTAAAGACTGATCTACCAAGGTGCGGAGCCGGACTTCTAAATCACTGAGCCTCACCTCCATGTCTATAAATAAACTACACTTATTACACGTACCATTACCGCTAAAGGAGGCACAGGAGTAACTGAACATCTGACACACCGAGCAGGAGAAAGTAGGAGAGAGAGAGGGAGAAGGAGAAGCCATCGCTAGCTGCTAAGCTAAAGTCGCTAACGGCTAAGCTAAAGTACTGTAGCGTCAGCTACCAAAACTTTAGAACAACTATGAGATTGAACAGCAGTCACTAAAAGATGGAAAGAACTGTGAGTGCTTAGGAAAAATTACTGTAAAGAATAAGTGTTTAGCGGACAGTTGGCTGCTGTAATCTAACAAATGTAACTGTTATTTAGTGAGAGCAGCACAACGCGGTACCAACACACAAGCACCGGAAACAGAAATGAGTCGACACGCTTACCGCAGTACGTCAGCAACCAGTCAGCAAGTTTTGCCAAACGTATCCACTATCATACGTGTATCAAACAAACAACAGTTTAAACTGTCGGTAAGAGCTTTCTTTATTGTTGAACACTATATGAACTTTAGGCTGTGTTGTTAACCTGTGTATGGTGATACAAAGATAGAAGCGTTAGTGAAGCTTCTGAATTTAAAAGTCCTACTTGTTTACGGGTGTAGTCACACAGAACTCACATTTGAAGGAAGGGTCCTCCGTCGTGCAGCAAAGGGTGTATCACACCTTCGACAAGCCAGCATCAATGCTCACTCTGAGGGGTTTTTTAATCCACAATAACTCTGCGCTAATCTGTATCAGATGGCTCTCGATATTGCGGACCTTCGACGTGAATGCGCAAACGGAGTGAAAGTAGGTAGGGAGGGAGGAGCAAGTACTTTCGGAAGGGCCCTGAATGTTGCTGCAGAAAGGAATTGTGGGTCATAAAATTCAGAGTGACGATTCAAACTCTATAGCCTAACTGTAACAGAATATTAGTGAGTGCAGCTCTCAGTCATTCTGTGCTGCTTTCAGATCTGTTTCTCATGGAATATCCCTGCCGAGTCAAGATTTAGTCACCTCAATGTAAAATTATTCATTTAGTTATGAACTCCTGGAATTTAATAGCTCCTGTGTTTCAGCAGTTTTCTGCACAGTAATATACACATATCTGTGTTGTCTGACATGTCCAGAAAAAAGTCAGAATTAAATAAGGGACTAACGTTATCATTTGAGTCTACCTGCCCTTCACTCTGCTGTGCATTGTTTTTGATGCGCTGGCAGAAACATTATGCACTTCAGACCGTTTGACCGACACAGGTAAGTTTCCCTCAGGTGGTCACAGTAAAGAACCACAGACAGACAGGTAAGTTTCCCTCAGGTGGTCACAGTAAAGAACCACAGACAGACAGGTAAGTTTCCCTCAGGTGGTCACAGTAAAGAACGACAGACAGACAGGTAAGTTTCCCTCAGGTGGTCACAGTAAAGGACCACAGACAGATAGGTAGGTTTCCCTCAGGTGGTCGCAGTAAAGAACCACAGACAGACAGGTTTCCCTCAGGTGGTCACAGTAAAGAACCACAGATAGACAGGTAAGTTTCCCTCAGGTGGTCACAGTAAAGGACCACAGACAGATAGGTAGGTTTCCCTCAGGTGGTCGCAGTAAAGAACCACAGACAGACAGGTTTCCCTCAGGTGGTCGCAGTAAAGAACCACAGATAGACAGACAGGTTTCCCTCAGGTGGTCACAGTAAAGAACCACAGATAGACAGGTAGGTTTCCCTCAGGTGGTCACAGTAAAGAACCACAGATAGACAGGTAAGTTTCCCTCAGGTGGTCGTTTTATTATAAAAGTTTCTACTCTGACAGTGAACAAGGAACAGAAACAGTCCATAAACCTCCAGTAAGAAAATAAAAAAACAACATGATGAAGAGCAGGAGGTGGGGGTCAGGTTTCCATGGTAACACACAGAGGTGATGGTGGAGATGGGGCTTAGGGAGGGTGCAGGGTAACCATGGTAAAAGTGTGGGTTGGGTGGAGGAGGGGGGGGTTACTTTACTATCCTCTGGTGCCGGACAGTTTAACATCTGATGACCACACACACATGCACGCACGCACACACACATACAACACACAGTAACACGCACACACTCTGTGGTCCTGTGTGTGTGCTTCAGAGCGACCTGTCTCTCTCTCTCTCTGCCTGTCTGATGGGCGACGAGGTCGGGCTGAGGACTGTCTGCTCTGTCACATGACCTGGTTACAGCTGAATGTGGCAGAGACGTGTACCTTCAACAGGAGACCTGGAACCTCATCATTAGCTGGTTCCTCATCAGGAGACCTTGACCCTGACCAGTAACTGGACCCTTATCTGTAGATGTAGACCCTCATCTGCAGACCTGGATCCTCATCAGGAGACCTTGACCATCAGAAACCCTTCCTGTTACCCAGCACAGCTACTGGTGAGCAGCTTGAACTGGTATAAAACCAGTCTGCTTGGTCCTGAACTGGTCCAACAGCTCAGACCAGCAACACGCTGCTAACGACCACTCTCACTGCTCCTTTCAACTAATCAATAAGTTAGAAATACAAGTGACGTCTTGTTGTGTTTGACCAACAATCATTATTTATTGATTTATTTCAGCTTCTCACATTTGAGAAGCTGGAAACTTAAAAGTATTCTTCAATGACAGAAACAGCTGCTGATCAACTTTCTGTTCATCAACTGATCGACTAATATAACATGATTTTCTACACGGAATCGTGTATGGAAGAAAAACACTGCCGTCCTGGCTACTGACAGACGACCCTGACCTCGGACGACCTCTAATGACCCCTGACCTCGGGCAGACAGCGGCTGAAGTTCCTAGCTGAGGTCTTCCAGACGTCTTCACTGACCTTCTGTCTGATCCTGAACTGATCTGGACTCCACGTCGGACGGCGACACCTGAGTTCCAGTTGATCTTCGGTGGGGTCAGTAACATGTGACTGGTGATGTAGCTTCACCTGCACAAACACGACCAGGTGAGGTTTGACTCAACTGATCCAACTGGAGGAAAGAAAACATCTTACTGAAAGCTCACCTGACCTCAGACCTGCTTTCAGTCAGCTGTCACCACGTCTCCCTTTACTTTGTTTCTGCTGTGAAGCTCCGCCCACTGCCTGCTCTTGTCCAATCAGCTGTCACAGGCCCTCACCTGCACCTCAACACTGTCCTACCTCTGAAACACACACACCTACCTGTCTCTCTCTCTCTAACACATTCAGTCTCTCCCTCTCATCCAGCTGCAGCTCGTCTTCTACTCGTCGTCGTCGTCCTCCTCGTCTTCGTCCTCTCCTTCGTCGTCCTCCTCTTCCTCCCCTCCCTGAGCTGAAGAGCCGGGGTTCCTGGCGTACGTGCCGCCGCCGCGGTACGCCACCATGTCCTGTCAGACAGACGGGTAAATGTTTATTACACCGCCAACAGTTGTCTGGGCTCTCTGCACCTGTCCGTCATAGTGCAGCGCTCTGTATTCTGGCCTTAGTGAAGGAAACACTCAGACTGCAGCCCGGCTTTTAACTCGCACTAAGAGGAGTGACCACATCACATGAATAATCTTTTATTACTTTTATTCATTTATATTTTCAGTAAGGACTTGTTTGTTTCAACATTACAGCACTTTGTAACTCGGCTTTGAAAAGTGCTATAAAATAAAGTTAATATTATTATTATTCCTACAGCCCTAATTGTTACTACCCGTGCGTCTCTGTCTGAGTCTCACCCGGTCGTATTTCTCTCGTAGTTTCTGGGCCTTCTCCTCGTAGGGCAGCTTCTCAGACTGGGACAGTTTGCTCCACATCTCTCCCAGCTTCTTGGCACAGTCTCCTATAGACAGACCAGGGTACTGCTGCTTCACGCTGGGACGGTACTCGCTGCAGAACACGAAGAACGCAGACCTGCACGCACACAGACAGACAGACAGACGGGTTAACGCTCATCATGGAACGGAGACGCTTTGTTGCTGAATCCGGTTCAGCCCTGAAACAAACTACATCCTGTTTTACTAGATAATATAAATAACCAGCGGGACAAATTCAAACCGCTTGTTGAACCAAAGATACTATTTCCTGATTCATTCACGTCAGGTATTAAGCACTAAGATCGGCTCCCGGAGGCCCTGAACTAAACCCAGAGAGCCTCTTCAGCAGAGATCCAGACTGGTTCAGACTGGTCCCTGTGCTGCCCTCTGCTGGCCCAGCAGCTGAACATGAATCTCTCTGTATGGGTTACACAGACTGGGACACTGGGTCCAGACCAGCAGGCGTGACGGTGTAAAACCTTTTATTGTGGTCCTCTGATAACAGAAAATGAAAAAGATGTGGATTTGTCTCGGTCGGAGCCCCGACCCTCTCCACGGCCCCGCAGAGCCTTTTGGTCACTACAGCTCCGATCTGAACTGAAGCTAATCAGCTTTCTGTTTTCTGTCCTGACAACTGACTGATTCGCGGCAAGAGCGTGCGTCTTTCACAATAAAGTGTGAAGCAATCCATTTTACGATCCGCACATCAGCTGATTTCCTGTCAGCTCTACAGTACCGTTAACTTCACCGCCAACCTGCTTTTACAGGCGCTGCTTTATAATTATTTTTTTGTTTACTGTTATTAGCAGGGTGGGAATCTCTGAGAACCTCACGATCAGATTATGATGCAGAGGGCTGCGACGGATTATCAACCGATTATCGATGCATCATTTTATTTCCTGTTTGATTTCTGGTTAATTTGCATCATCCTAAAAGGACTGGTTTGTATGCCTAGTTCACTTCATTAAGCTCGGCTCCTCCTCGTCAGCACTGTGCTCTCTTCAACAACCAGTTTCCTCTGAACACTGAAATATATTTAACTAGTATCAGGACGGACACCAGTTTAGCGTCTACCGGATGTTCAGTAACCTGGACAAGTAGGCAGTAATGACCTGCAGCTAATTAACATTACTTTGTTACTAATTTAGAGTTACACAGCAGCTAAAACACATGATGAAGAGGAGAAATGTTGCTAATGCTAACTGCCTCCACCTTTCCAGCAGACAGACTTTTATTAATGGACACACAGTGACTGTACATTTAATGAATGATGACTATATTAATGGTGGTGTGAGATTTTAGTAGGGTCATTCATTCAGCGGCGAATACACTTTTCTTCATCTCTGTAGCTAGCTGACTGGCCGGTGAAAAGGGCTAAAGGATGAAACGGCTGTAAGGAGCTCAGCGGTGAAGTTAACGGGTGTGTAAAGCTGAGGTCAGCTCATGTGCAGGTAGGCCTTGGCGATATAGCCACAAATGTTATCACGATAAAAACATTTTATATCATTCGATAGCGATAATTATCAGGATAAATGAGGCTGATTTTTGCTCCTGACTGAAAGTTAGTTGTGGTTTTAAACTTTTCTTTCTGGTCAGAACAAACACTGGAGGTCAAGCAGAGGATCACAAATCTGAGGCAGAACATTCAGAACTATCATGTTAAATCTGTTTTCAACAAGAATGGTTAGTAAATCTTTTTCCAGTCCCTTTTCCTCAACAAAATAAATATATTTTAATAGATGTGATTCTAATGAATTAAACCAAATATTTGATATACAAAATATTGAATCTTTGTTATTGAGGAAAATTATATTGTGCAAGTAGTCAAAACACACAAAACATTTATACATTTGTGACGTTGCAGTAGAAATTTATATACTGAAGAACAACAAATTAAGACCTTTATAAATAAAAACTGAAGACTTTTAAAGGGGGCCTTATGAAGACCCGGGGGTTTCCGGTCTGGAGACACTTCTGGTGTCAACACGGCGTTTTAACACCTGTGTGCGTCTCTGCAGGTCGATACAAACCAGGAAGGTGTAGCTGGACCTGTGTGCTGCGGACTTACGGGGGTCTTTTGGGTGCGTTGGGGTCTTTCCTCTTGCGGCCCCTCTTTCCGAAGCCCTTGGGCGGGATGTAGTCTCTCATCTCCCTGTTGTAACGCACCTTGTCGGCCTTCGCCATGTCCTCGAAACACTTCTTATCGCTGGCAGACAGACCCTGAAAGCACAACACAGCCCGCCAGCGGAGTCAGCGGCGTCTCCACGGTGAACATCAACACACGGTCGGTTTGTGGCCACCATCTTTATCTGGGTCAGGAAGCAGCGCTTTATGTGATAAACTCTGTGCTGCCTGAACTGTTAAACTCATTAAAGGTTAGCGTGGGTCCAGCAGGACCGGCTGCCTCCACCATCAGGTTCTGTGTAAACCACAAATAAACACTCTGAAATAAGGACACAACTATAAATCTGCTGGGACAGCTCATCTTCTTCGGTCTCTCCTCAAACGGCGGTGCTTGCTGTCCTCTCCTTTCCTGCCAGTGACGATCTAAAGTACAACCAGGACGTTTGCTGAATCACGACCGCCGCTGCTAAAATTTCCCACGATCATTATTAAACTCGCACACTGTGGGAGCAACACTCAACGTTCGGCTCGCTTCCTCTCCTCGTTCTACGCAGAACATCTACGGGACAGGTGGTGTTATAAGAGCAGCGTAACTCCTGTAAGGAATCAGGAGGTGCTTGGCGAGTGTTTGGACGGTGACATGCTGTGCCATAAATGTAAAATCACTGTGGAGCATCAGAACCAACCAAAGTACTTTCTCAGGATCTAAAGGTTGTAGTTCCTCCCCAGCAGGCTGATCTCTGGCTGTTGGTTATTTATTATCTGCTCTCGCTTTTCCAACTCTTTGTTCAGAGATATGGTGAAAATAACGGCCCAATGTGACGTGAAATTCTTCATTCTAAGGTGCATCACATGCTCATGAACACACGAGCGATGCTGCTGAGACATGTTGTGTTGGGGTTTTACAACTACAACAACTCCATCCTATAGGAAACACCGCAATGTACAACCAGGACGTTAGTAATAAGTGTCCGTTTCCCAGAATGCATTGTGTACCAAACAAACAGCGATGACATCTGTAAGTTACAACACTGCTGTTCTTGTGTTAGGTGATGCACTTTTAAGGAATACAGGCCAGTTGTTTAAATCTAAAATCTGTGGTCGATTTATCAAGATAAAGCAGAGTAAAAAATTTGCTCCTGCGGTTCTTGGAAACGTTTTGCCTTTGAAAATATTTAAAATGGTAAAAAAATGGATTAGTTACATGCATGTAGCCTCTTTAGCTCCTCTGCATTAGCTAAACACTGTTAACGTCAAGCTAGGAGGGCGTGGTTTCAACAACCAGGTACCTCGGTGCCACTCAAGCCCCTCCCCTCTGACTCTTGTGGGGGCGGGGTTAGTTGTTGCGATCTTGCCAGTGTGTCCCTCTCAGAGACACTCATAATAACTGGTTCGTTGATCACCTTTAATTAGTCTTTACACATGTAATAACTAGTTATTCAACAGTCATTAGTCTTTAAGTGTTTATCAGTCATGAATCATAAATCTGTCAATGTGCAATAACTGGTTTATCGATCGTCTGTAAACAAGCTAACTTTCTATTTTTACACTGCCCTGCCTGTCTGTCTCTTACCTTCCATCTCTCGGAGCATTTCTTGGAGAACTCGGCGAAGTTGACGGACTGCTCGGGGTGCTTCTTCCGGTGTTCCTCTCTACACGTCTGGACGAAGAAGGCGTACGCCGACGTCTTCCCCTTCGGCTTGTTGACGTCTTTACGCATCATAGTGGCGCCTGGCAGACAGATGGGAGGCGGACGACGACAGGTACAGATAAAACACAGGAAAACAACGTTCAGGCCGGATCTCATTACTTAATTTTCAACTTTGAGATCAATTAGTATTTTAATAATTGTTTATTTAATTCAGTGTACACTTCAAAACACAAAATATACCTGTAAACTACAAGCTGCACACAATCCACCACCAACATTTTTATCAATTTTTCACCTAAAAAGGCAAGTAAAGGTACGTTTATTTCATCTTCATCTTTATTATCCATCATGCTGTTAATTAGTTTCAGCACTGATCATTCAGCCTGTCCGTCTCGGTCGAGGGTGACGTCTTCACATGTTGTTTCATCCGACCAACCGTTCAAAACTAAGATATTTCAGTTTAATGAGATAAAACACAGGATATGAACAAATCTGACACATTACAGAAAGTGAGTTCATATTTAATTAATTATTTTAAATAAAATATTTTGGTTAATTGATTAATCATCTGATTGTAGTTTCTCAGAGTCTGAGGGGATGTTTTCAGAAAACCCCCCACATACATTCAGTCTTATAATCACAGAGAACAAAGAAAGGCAGCAAACCCTCCCAATAACGAGCTGCAATAGGCACAGACGTTTTAACTTTGTACAGATAAAACACAGATGATTGATAATCAATATCTTAAATAATTATTGGCTGCAGCCCTTTATGTTTAATAGTAAGACAGTTAAACAGAGATGAAAAGGCTGATTAATAACCTGACATTATTAAAATCTTTATATGGTTAAAATCAAAACATGGTCCAGGTAACTGAGCAGAAAGGCTTTCAACACATTTGGGTGGGATGACCCTTTAACCTGTATGTGTCTCGTTTTTGGTCATAAATAACATTTAACCTTGTAAAATGTTAAAAATGTGTTTAATTAAAGATCACATTTTAAAGCACTGAGCATAAAGTTTCCCATCCTTCATTAGCGGGTCGACCGTTAATTAGCCGTTAAACGGTCAAATAACGGTCCCTCCGCAGAAACGGGCTGATTGTGAATAACAAAGAGAACAAAGTGGGGATCCATTTTCTCCACCGGGGAGCTCGGAGGCCCACCGACCCGGGCTGGACCCTCTTTCTCGGTGCGTTACTGTGCCGGGACGTCCCGCCGGAGCCGGTTCCTCCGCTCCGCCTGTGACTGGGAGTCTATGAGCCGTAGAGATGAACTAAAACCGGAGCTAGCCGCGTCTTCTATGGACGTCTATTGACTGCTGCAGTTAGCCTAGCCGTGCTAACGGGCTAGCTCCGGCAGAACAATGGGCCACCATTTGCTTCCCGCCCTCTGCAGAGCTAGCCACCCCATCCCCCTCCGCTAGCAGCGTGCTAACAGGCTAGCGGGCAGAGAAAGGCTCGTCCGGAGACAGCAGTGAGACTTTGTGTTGATGCACGGAGTTTATGCTTTAACCGTGGCGCAGTGTTTTTTAAATCTGCAACGGAAACATGGTGTCATTACAGCAGCTACGCATTTTCAACGGCAGGGCTCCGTCTATGCTGCGGAGAGAGGGAGGTCGGCGTTGCACGGACGGGACACGGCTATTTCCTGGCATTCATACTCCATAATGGGCGTTTCGTGTTTACAACAACACGTCTTGAGCAGAGCCCCGTGTGCGCGCACACAGGGCTGCACAGATGAGCACAGATGTCACCACAGTTACATTTATGTTCCGCCACAGCGGCCATTTTATTCACATTTCAGCCCTTTTTATTACAGGATTCTTTCACGTCAGGTAAAAAAAACAAAAAACAGGCAAACCGGCAAATCAAAGCTCGTGCTGAGTGAAACTACAGACATGTAACCGGCGGCGGGAGGAGAGCTGGGTACTCACTCGTCAGGAGGGCCGGAGCAGACTTTGGGTCGGGTTTCGGGTTTTTGGGGGTTCACGGGTTCTTGTTGTTGTTTGGTGGCTGAAGCGGCGACTGGAGACGTTGGTTCACTTTCAAACTGGGTCGAGCTCGAGCCCGGCGCCGCCCCCCAGCAACGCCCCCGTTGGTCATTCCTATTCAGAGGGCGGGAACGCGGCCGGCCAACCTGGGCGGAGCTCGGCCGGATACTGGTCTGTGATTGGCCCGCGGGGCCGCTGGTCAAAGCTCGTTGCTACCACGGCTCCGCCTGCCCAGCAACGCGAGCAGGGCGGGAATGCTACGCTCGCAACGGGGTGGGGCTAGTTTGTGCTCCTGCGTCTGATTGGTCCGGACTGGTGTATGTCAACTGTAGCAGCCAATCAGCGGAGAGGTGGAGGAGGGGCGACGGACAGCAGCAGTGTGAGGGAAGAAGATGGAGATTGTATTTTGCATTTTTTGGTTGTATTTCTGACTGTAGTGGTTTAAAACTGCACTATTACTGACGATGACGATGATGCGAGCCACACATATATAAAAACATAGACTTTTATTATAAAAAGCCACCAAAATATTGTGAATTCGTGTAAATCTATCAACATATTTGAAAAAATATTTGATAATCTGGGACACTTGATTACCCTTAAAAAAATGTTGTGTATACCTTTATGAAAATGTATGTAAAGAAATTAAAAAGATAAGGACAGAAAACTGAATGAGATATATTTCACAGGAGTTTCATTAATTCTTATAAATATATGGACACATTTATTCATAAAGAGCTAAATAAAGATAATTAGTTTGTTTGAATTATTTCTAAACATTCTATTAAAATTTAGTAAAATATTCAAAATTCAACAAGAAATTAAGCAACAGTTAGATTAACGCATTATTCATGCTGTCATTCATCAGGTTATTATTTGAGACCGGTGTTTCTATATTGATTAAAACTCCAGTTTCAGCTGGTGGGTCTTTAAAGTGGATGTGGAGGAGCTACATCTTATATGGTAACGACTGTCTGGGTGACATGAGCGTTGACTTATTAATGTGCTGTAGTTCACATTAGCTGTGAATTAATATGATATATTAGATAAGACTTTATTGTCTCCAAAGGGAAATCCTAAAAGCTCTGTAAATCACTAATGTTCAACATTTTCCTCAAATCATTTCCCAACAAATGTAGATCACAAACCACAACAACAACCAGGACAGGACTCCCCGCCGTCCTCGTCCAGACACCTTGTTCAGGGCTGCTGGTACCAAGACTTGGTCAAAATTGGCCTTCTTGCGTATCAAGTTATAGCCTCCCACATTAACACCAATCGACCATCAGTAAGTATCAGAGGTCCCCAAATTGTAATGAGATCTGCACATTATAAACCTTATATGCAACTCCCTAAATACACATTTACCCTGTGTGAAGAATTTAAAGTTAAGAGGATGCCGTCCCACATTCTTAATCATATTTGATAAAGTTGGACACCTAAAAACATGTTAAAATAAAATGAATGCACTTTAATGCACATTTTCTTGCTTGACTAGATCACAAACATAATTTGATAGCAATTAGGAACATTGTCTTATTTAAGACATATTTATATGCTTAATCTAGTGTCATTGACCTGGTCTGTGTTCAAAATGTCACAAATGTTTTCCTTTTCTAACCATTTTATCTTGGACTCAATGGAAAATGTCACGAGGGCAAGGAAAGATGAGAAGGTGAATTCATGAACAGACACTCGTGGAACTCGTTGAAATATTTTCAACGTAAGATATATTTTGTTTTTAGTTTGTTTATTCTCTTTTTTATTTAATTATATTGTTTATATATATATGTGTGTGTGTGTATACACATATATACATATATGAGGGGTGGTGATGGAACAGTGGATAAGACACATGCCTTTGGTGTGAGAGACCAGCGTTCGAATCCACTGTGAGACGGCGTTCGACCTATGACATGTATAGCAATTGTCACTTTGGATAAAAGTGTCAGCTAAATGAATAAATGTAAAGATATATATATATATATATATATAGAGATAGATAGATAGATAGTAGTGTTTGTATGAGCAACATTTTTTTAAACTCATTGAATCCAACTGCACTCTCTAGGTTTCAAAACAAAACTTTACCTATAACACATGGAAGATACGGGCAGCTCAAAACAATTCAATGCATTACAACGAGTAAGGTTTCCTGTTCAACACAGAATCACACCTCTTCAGAGAGGATGTTTTTTTAAGTTTAGGGTCCATTTAACCATCAATTACTCTGAAGGAAGTAACAACAAAATATATGGTTGTTAAAAAAGGAAAGAATAAAAATAGGATTGAAAAGTTTAAATTAATAATATGGGTGAAAAAGGCAATATACAAGTAGAGAAGGTTGAGCCTTTTACTGTAAATAATAATTAAATAAAAAGAAGTAATTGAGAGTAAATGATATTCAGACAGGAGTTTATAGAGTTTCCTGCTATGTCCTTTATCATAAATCTGTCAGCAGAGAGTTTTGGTGCTTTGATTCAGAGAACACAACATGTGTTAAGATGTTTTAATACGGTTGTTTTTCGTGCTTCCTGACCTGGATGGATTCGACAGAGAAGAAATCTGTATTCATGGTTTCAGAGCTCGTCATACTCATAGATTTCCAGACGTTTCAGATGGTGTCACAAACACAAACCAGGCACTCTGTTGTTTCTGTTGGTCTGCCGTGGTGAAACTACAACTCTGCATCGCTTTAAATGTTGCTGCCGCAAGGAATTGTGGGACGGCGTTATCTCCTTTCCTTAGCTTTTAGAAAGTTCAACCAGTTCCTGTCACGGCCGACATCCATCCTCACACCACAGCAAAGTCCTGTCGGCTAGATTCAGTTTTCACTTAGGTGCCCCACATTACCTGGACTTTGGTCTGTGTCTCTTCAGTTTGAGCCTCTGCTGTCAGTGTGAATCCCTCAAAGCTGAAGGTGGTTTATCGACACCAGTCTGAAGGTGTTTCCTGAACCCTTAAAGACCATCAGGAGGAGAAACGCTGCCTCTGCTGCATGTTAACGAGAGTTTTAACCTTCACTCGTGCAGTCTGTGGTTTTAACCTCCCACGTTTGGTGAAACAAAGATGGCTGAACTTCAATTTACGACACAAGACAAATCTGAACATGTCACTGTGTACGGAAATAAAAAATAATGCAATCTAACGTTTATGTAACTAATAAAAAAACTTTATTTAGATTTAACTTGACTGAAATTGTTTGAATAACTGAGCTAGAAGACGCATCACTTCTGTCGTCATTTAGATTAAGAAACGGGTTAAAACTCTTATTGTGAGGATCTTATAGTGCCTTCACAGCAGCACGACACCCAGTGATCACTCTGGGGACAGAGCAGAGAAAGCTGAGCCATTTAAATAATAATTTAAATAATAGTTGGATCATTTAATCCAATGTGTTTAATAAACATAGGCAATAACTTCCCAATAAAATATCACAGTTTTATCAAAAAACAACAACAAAAAAAACAAAACAAACGTGTGTGAATTGCAGGGGTTTCTTTAAAAACAGACGTTTTACATTAAATAGTTTATGTATTTATTAATTTGAAAGCAAATAAATAAATCCTGTTTAGTAAAGGGACCTTTCAGAAAAGATTAATTTGCACCTTAATGTTGAAATGAAAATTAAGTTTAACAGTAATATAATTTGTCTATGACAGGGTGGACTTTTCTTATGGTTTATAGTCTAAATATTGGCCCATAATTATGTAAAAGACTTCAGCTAAAAATTATTTTTATTATTTATTTATAAGATATGAAGCGAATTAAAACAAAGATGTGTGAGTATTATCACTCCACGGTGATATTATTGACCCACATGTTCTCTTACTTTATTAATACTTCTTTCATATAAATAAAAAAAGCAAAAGCTCGTCCTGTAAGCCGCTTTGAGCCTCTCCGGACACCGTAGCTCGGCAGGGGAAGTGGCGTTTGAAGGCGGGAGCGGTTTGTTGACAACATGGAGGTCTGAAGGAGGAAACGCTTCATCTTTAACAGTAATATAAAGTCTAACAGCAGCCGTCGGTGGCCCGGCTCTGGACTGTGGAGGACATGGACCCCCTGCAGCTGCTCCTGGACCAGTTCCGACCCAGCGGGGAAGCCGTCAGTAAAGTCTCCTCACTCTGTAGCTCCGACAGCCGAGCTCCTGTTTAAAATCTGCAGATTTAACGATGTTTAGCTTGTGAGCGGCAATAAACACCTGACAGAGGGAGAACAAAGACGGTTCTACAGTTTCTAATGTTTCCTGCTAAGACCGGCTCACATGTGATCCACCGGGCACTAAGCGCCGCGCAGTTATAACGATATCAAACCAAACTAATGAAAGAAATTGATAAAATGAGATGTTCTGACAGCTCGTCGTTTAATACGTGTATTTACGGTTGATTTTCTGTCTGCGTCCTTTGTTAAATAACAACCTGGTGAATTCGGCACAGTTTTTATAACTAAGCAGCTCGTTAGGGCTCTAAAAAGTGGATATTATTGCGGTAAGAGGAGACAGCGCAGTGAGGCGCTGCTGTCAGATAATCCCCATGTTTCTGAATGGATGTTTGGTGTCTGTCCTTCAGGAGTCCACCTGGTTGAAGGAGGTTTTCAGTTTCATCACACAACACGTCGACCCTGTGCTCTCTGGCCCCGCCCCTCCTGCTGCTGACGACTCACTGACAGGTCAGTCAGCCAATCAGCTGCCAGAGTGCGGAACACCTGCTGACAGGTGACCTGTAGTGACATTATACATGCTGTGTTTCAGGTGGAGGCCTGAGCGTGTGCGCGGTGAGGAAGATACAGGAGAACATGTGTGTCGCGCACAGCTTACCGGTCAGCTACAGGTACAGGCCCTGAACGCACCGTGTGGACTTCATGTACTGTATTTTGTCGTCGTGACCTCTGACCTCTCCTGACCCCGTCTCCAGGCCGGTGTCTGTCTCCGAGCTGCTCTCCCGACAGCACCTGGCCTGCGTCAGCAACCTGTCCTGGACCACCAATCAGCAGCGAGCGTGGGTGAGGGAGGCGGAGCTTTCTCTGCCGGGTCACCGAGCTCTGCCGCGGGTCAACCTGCTGCTGATTGGCTGTCTGAGAGAGGGGCGGGACGGCGAG